CCCGCTGCTAAGCCGTGAAGGGCGGGGGCCCCTTGGGACCCCGCCGGGGACATGGGCAACGGGATGTGCTCCCGAAAACAGAAGCGGATTTTCCAGACCCTCCTGCTCTTGACTGTGGTGTTCGGGTTCCTCTACGGGGCGATGCTCTACTACGAGCTGCAGGGCCAGCTGAGGAAGGCTGAGGCCACGGCGCTCAAGTACCAGCAGCATCAAGAGTCGCTCTCAGCTCAGTTACAAGGTACTTACCTCGGCAGGAGCCTCTGCCGCCCTTTCCTAAGGCTTGCAGAATACCCTCCTCCTCCTCCTCCTCCTCCTCTGGGGAAGTCAGGGCTCCACCTGTCCAACCTCTGACAAAGTTTTGCTCCTTATGCACTTCTTCCCCTTCTCTCCCTCGAGCCTGTGGGGTTTTGATAGTTGAGCGTGCGTAGGATCCTGGCCCCGCTGAAGTCGGTGTGAGTTTTTTGCCTTGGACTCCTAGAGAGCTCTCATTCCATGCATTTTATAGAGTGACTGTTATTCCCAAAGGGACTGCGCATCACTTGGCAGTTCCTGGTATAAATGGAAACGGCAGGCATGCTGCCTGCTGCTCATCTAGCAGTACAGACCACGTCCAGTTCTGGGATGTTTGCGTGCTCCTGTGTTGTCTTAGCAGTATTAGTTTTATGCTGCTGAGAGAGCACTCAGCTGCAGTAATGCAAGGTTGCAGTTCCTGGGCAGCACAAACCTTAAATAGCTCCAGGAGGGAGGAGAGGAGTATTCTAATAAAGCATTTTTTTAAAGGGTAACTTGACAGTAAAGTTCAAGTAAGGTATTTGGATAAGGCTATTCTATTACTTTTGGAATGACTTTGAATTTCTTGGCTTAAAGCTGCCACATAAATACAGATCCTTGTGTATCTTGGCTTAAGGATGCACCGAACGTGGGCGTCTTGTATGTGAAGATGAAAAGATGCCGATGTCTAACATCTGCACGTCCAGAAATCAGATGCAAAGCGGCAGATAGATACGTGTGAAGCATCAGTGCTCTGGGAAGTGCAAGACCCTCAGCACTTCCCTAGTTGTCGAGTGCAGGGTTATCGGGTCAGCATATGCAAAGTCCAGAGGCAACTTTCAAAAGTCTTTAGAGTTTTGTTTCTTAAAACTGTATAAAACAAGAATAGGAGTGGTCTGCTCTAGCAGCTGTAACAGTACTTAACTTCAGGGTGATCGTCAACCATACTTTTTACTGCAGAAGCACGCATAAAAGCATGCCTAGAAGCATACAGTTTTTATGCAGAGAGCGTGGAATTGGGCTTATGCTGTTAGGTTCTTACAGTGATTTGTTGGTTGAATATGTTTGGCTACGATCTGAGACCATCGTTACTTAGTATTTCAATTTCAGGCCATTTCCAGGTAATGCCATGGAAAAAATTTGACAGAAACCTTCATTTTAGTTATGAAAAAGGTGTAAATGTTTGGCTGGGAGATGGGTATGTGGCAGATGGCTAAAGGGCTACTTTTGCTAGGCTGTATATTTGCCAACAGTATTTGAAGAGGACACAGGAACATCTTGTTCTCAGGCTCAAGTTCAACAAATTAGCTTTTTGTGTTGCTCTGGCTATACCAAAGAGGAGCATGCAACAAACTTTGTCCTAACACAGAGGAGAGATTCTCTTGATCAGATAGATTGGATCTGGACTGTTAGTTTAAACTTCTCATGTCTGAGACATTATTTTGAGTAGCCATCGTCTGTCCAAGCGAGTTCATGGAAGCAGCAGGGAACTAATCGTCGAAAAAACGTGGTGCCAGTGCTGCATTTTATATAAGCATTCTCTTGCTTGTTTTGGTGTATCAATGAGAAATATAACATGTGGAGCAGAATCTGAACATTCATACATTTGATTATCAATGCAATAAATTCATACGTTTCTGGGACCCATGCCAATGTATCAAGCCTGTTATGCAGGAGATCTTATCTATGCCTAGTATGGTAGCAGTGAACCTTGTTTAAAAAAGATAATTACTAGCAATTAAGTCACAGAATACGAGGAAAAATATAACAATAAAATTGGTTCTTTAAATTTTCCTGCATTATGGCAATAGCTGTTACACCTAAAAAAGGGTAAGGCTGAGAGCCCAGAGACATACTAAACGCAGCAGCAAGCGTTAGATGCCTGATCTCCCACTGAAGCAAGTGGAAGCTATATGCCAAAGGACTTTGGAGGATTTGGGCCAAATGAGCTAGAAATAAACTTTTCTTCCCTGTCTTTCCCTGTACATTTAATGACTGGGGGATGGCCTGCCCTGGGTAATCACTTGGATCTTTGCAGTTGGAGTTGATTAGTGAGGAGAGCATTGAGAATTCGGAACCTGTGCCTGTGCCCAACTCGCCCAGACATACGCAGGCGGCATGCTAACTGGCGATGTACACCACCAAAACCATTTCTGAACCTTTCCTATTTAACTCTTGGATGTGGAACAACAGGAAGGAATTTTCTTTAAACAGAGTCTTTCAAACAACATAAAATGCTGACAGAAAATCCTGTGTTTGCAGGTGCAGTGTCTGACTGCACTTTGAACTTTTGATTTTTAAATGCCCTGGATTTTAAATCAACAATGTTTCTGTTGCCAAACAAAAACCCCTAAGAATATCTAGGCTACATCTCTTTGCTGTCCTTAACAACACAAGAGAATATTCGAGTGTTATTTGTTTTAATGAGAACAATAAAATGTATCAATACTAAAGCAGTGCGACTTATCTTTTCCACACAGTGTAATCAGTTTCTCTGTAGATAATGGTCTAGAGACAACTTTGGGGCCTGACGTCTGATGGGAGCGCTCTGAAATCTTTTAAATAAGAACCAGTTAAAGGGTGAGGTCACTGACACGGCATGCCAGGAGGAAAAGAAGGTGCTGTTATCAACAGTGGTTGATTTCTTAGTGTTTACACCTCTCTTCTGCGAGATTAAATAAGACCTTAAAGCTCGTTACGAGCTGAGGAGAGAAACGAACCTTGGACTTCTTGAACAGCCATTTAATCAGTAGGTTTTTAGTGTTTTGGGTTTTTTTGGGTTTGTTTTGTTTTAAAAAAAGGAAACTTCTTAAAGTTGTCCTTTTGAGGATCCTGAGGCTGTATTGTGCCAGGCTGGCTGTGCTCCTGGAAGGCCGACTGGAGTGAAATGCTTGGGTGACAGTGAAATATCGCCTGTTGTCTGAATTTTGATTGGGTTTTGTTGTGACTGCTGGTGCCTATAAAGACAGTTGCTTTCCTAGCGGTACACAGAGGAACACTGTTACGGCTTCTGGGTGAAACCTGAGTCAGTTTGTAAATGCTTAAGGATCACAGGCAGCTCCTAAGTTTATGTATAAGGTTGCAGTTTTGGACCTGAATGCCTTTGTCTGCCCAAAGTCTTAAGAAGAATCCTCAGATGTAGCTCAGAGTGTAGCCTCCCTTCACTAACTGCTGTCCCCTCTACTATTTTTCTATCTCTGTGCAGTTTTTTAGGTTTTTTCTCTAGGTAGGTAGTAAGGCCCTTCCTTTTGGTAGTTGCCAGTTCTTCATGCCTGAATGAGCAGCGCTTTCTGTTTTTGCTTGAAAAGCCAGACGTCTTAGATTTTTATCTTTTTCATTGCCTTGTTTTGCTCAAACGCAGCACGTGAAGCAGGCTAAATCTTCTGTATACATGGGAAGACAGCACTCTTGTCTACCAAGTACAGATCAATGAAAAATGGTGCAGGAAGAGGTCTCAAAATCATGTAACCCACGCACCTGATCTGAAGAGGGCTGCTTATGAGAGTTCTTGTGGGAAGTTTGCTTTTTCGGGTGTTCACAGCTTCAGCTACTGGGCTGAGAAGTATTTCTGCCTCTTGAAATAAGACCAGGGTGCGACTGGAAGGATGGCAGACTCGGGGAACACGATAACTGGTTTGGAGAGTCTGGGGTCTTAAGCTCAGTCCCTTTAGACAGCTTGTGTTGTAGAAGATTTTGTATTTGAAAGCTAAACTTCTTACAAAAAAGAATGTTGAACTTTGGCATTTTTGTCTCTTTTAACAAAGTTTTGATGGACACGGAGAAAGTAGGGCTGCTTTTGTAACCCACAAAGGGAGTACCGGAGGCAAAATTTAGAGATGACACAAAATTTCTTGGCTGCTAAGAAAATCTACAGTCTGTTATCTATAAGGTCTTTTGTAGAGAAGCTGATCTTCCCAGTAAGCTGATTATTTTTGAATCTCATTCTCTGAGCATTATATGTTTGGAACATGAACATAATCTTATTTAGTACTTCCTAAAATGATACAAACAAAACTTACCGCTCTTTGCCTCCTACAAAGGTGTGTCAGACTATGTCTTAAACTCTTGGCCATAGAGGAGCAGAGTTCAGTTGCTAGAACAGAAATGCACTGACAGCTGTAGATGAACCTGATCGTATCTTTGACTGCTTCAAGATTGAATGTATCTACAAGTGTCTTTTTAGCCCTTACAGCTTCTGCCTCTCATCCTCTGGGTATTTAATAACTCCTTGTGTACTATTTTAATCTGTTTAATCTGTTTTAATCCCTAATCCTAATAACAGCCTACATTTAGTGCCTTTTACTACCTTAATTTTCCTGCTCTAAGAGAAAGAGTCTTAACGTATCTGATGGATTCAGGCAATCTGTGCAGGCTGAGACCATGCTATAATCTTGGGAGCTAACCCAGCAGGGACTCTGAACGTGAGAGTGTGGAGCTTGCCCTGCTGTAGGCGAGGTGTGGATTTCCTCAAGGCTATCTGATCCAGCACTAGAAAGCACCAGCTGAAAAGCAAATGTCCAATTCCTCTGGGCTTGTTGTGTCATTTGTCCTAAACCAAGGTCCCTCCTTGGAGGTGACCTGCTAGAAGTTGATCACATCTATAGTGGCCTTGTGTGTAGAGACAATGCTAGATCATACCTCTGTGTGACTTCAGTGGTTAATATTTATTACGTCTGTCTTCGTGCTAGCTACGTAGATGCCAAAGCTGTTCTTAGTGAAGTACGTACAGATGTGGATGTACTTCACCACTCACCCCTCTTTTGTAGTACTCTATTTGAACTTGTACCTTAAGTTGGCAGAGCTGGGAGGAGCTAAGAGTTGATAACTTGTTTTCCGCATCCATCATACAAGTAGAGCTACATCTACACAGCCCCTATATGGTTTGGTTGCTCTCCGTAATAACAGCAGCCTGAATTCCTGTCATTCCTGTTAGTTTCAGATTGCACGTAACACTACAGTGCTTATTTT